CACACCTTGAATATGCTGTGAAATATTGGGCACCTGTTCTAAAGAAGGATATCATGGCACTAGAAAAAGTGCAGAGATGAGCTACAAAATTGATAAAAGGATTGGAGCATTTTAGTTACAAAGAAAGGTTAAAAAATGTAAATCTCTATAGTTTGGAAAACCGGCGCCTGAGAGGGGATATGATAACATTATACAAATATATTCGGGGCAAGTACAAACCATAATCTGGAAATCTATTCATAAACAGGGCTATACATAGGACACTAGGTCACACATTTAGGCTGGAAGAAAGGAGATTTAATCTAAGGCAAAGAAATGTTTTTTTTCCAGTAAGAGCAATAAGGATATGTAATTCTCTGCCTGAAGAGGTGGTTTTATCAGAGTCCATATAGATGTTTAAACTGCAATTGGCTAAATACTTGCAAAAACATAACATACAGGGATATAATTTCTAATTATTGGGGTAATAGCTGCTTGATCCAAGGAGACATCTCACTGCTATTTTGGGGTCAAGAAGGAATTTTTTCCAAGTTTGTTGCAAAATTGGAAGCGCTTCATACTAGGTTTTTTTGCCTTCGTTTGGATATACAGCAAAAACATATGTGAGGAAAGCTGAACATGATGGACGCAAGTCTCTTTTCAACTATGTAACGTCTTAACCAGGTGTAGTGCGACTACAAAGAAAAAAATGCTCTAAATCCACTTGGAAGTTAAAAGTGGAACCATCACATCTCTTGGGTTTAAGAATGAATACATTTACACGTGGAGTTATTTGCATTTTTGTCTATTCTTAAAGATCTGGAATGGGGTCACCTACTGCTTGGACCTGCACTTAAATCAAGTTTGGTCAAGTGAGTGCCATGTTCAAATTTCTGGAAGTGACAGTCCCACATTCCCTTACGCCAGTAAACACAGCATTTAGTGAGACGAATAGTCAGCATCATCAAAAACTGGGGTCTATTCAGTAAAGAAGTTGTGGAAAAATATGAAAACCATGTGCGGGGTTATTTTCTAACGTAAGAATTGTCAGGAATATGATTTCAAATTTTCGACCAAAATAGCCAAACTGAATTTGAACTTAGATTTGAAATTCACATTGAATTTCTAACAATTCTCATTTTATTAAATAACTATCATAATCTAAATAAAATTTTCTGAATTTGGAATAAATAGCAGAATTGGAAAAAAATCCCCGTTTTATCTATTAAAACTTCTTCTCAAGTCACCGCAGCTCACGGTTTAATAATAGAGCACATCAGATTAAAAAAAGTTAGTAACATTACAAAATCAATTAAACAAATAGGAAAACCTAAAAAAATCAGATTTTAGTTTTTCAATGTTTATAAATATACTACTACTAATTGTTACTTATTCTTATTTTTATACTTCTGCATGGAATTGTAATGCAAAGTACAATGCAATAAAAATGAAAATGATCCCATGCTGGCTCTCACTCTGCTGAGAAACTAATTTCTCCACTTGGAATCCATTCAAACATCCTTGTTCTTTAAGGCAGGAAATAAAGCTGGGTCCCATGTGATTTTTAACAGCAGTCATGACTGCAGCACCGTTACAGGGTTATGGGGGGATTCTGCCGAGGTATAAAGGAGAAGCAGTTCAAGGGATAAACCATTATGGCAGGTACTTCCATTTACTCTACTCGTTTCTGCAACCATATAATTAGTAATCCTGAAGGCTGTTAGTGACATAGAAAGAAAACAAAGTGTGTTTTATCTGTTTTGAACCATGCTCTGAGAACTCTGGAGTTGTGACTCTCACCCTGTTTAGATTATGTTACACTATGTGCTTGTTTTTCTTCTCTATTCCTTCTTTCTTTTATGCCACAGCTATGTTTTGTGATTTCTCCGCAGCCTAGTGGTCATATGGTCAAACAGAAAGTCGGCTTGGCTCCTAGAAGAAGCAAGACTTTGATGTGTGTTTACACATGAACAAAGGTCGATGTTTAAGAGGCTAGCACAATGTTATCACCTGGTTATGTTTAAAAGGACAACTTAGACCCCTGAAGCACTTTAGCTTGCTGAAAAGCTTTATGTGTAAAGCATATGTCCTCTTTTTTTCGTTTTGCAAAAAGTGCAGATTTCAACTGAAGTTGACACTTATATAAAGAGCACCTGCCTTGCAAAGACTTCTCATTGACCTGCATTGAGAAATCTGTGATTGGACAGCCACAGAAAGTCTGGGCGTGGTTAGAAGGGCGGGTGTAACGGAACTCCCTGTACTCCGACCGAGTACCTTCCATTGATGGACGCTTCCTAGCCTGCGCCGAGGACCACAAGCACCGCACCGGACACCACAACCACTGCAGACTCCACAACCGCCGTAGCTTAACTGGAGTCTCGCCATCTTCGTCCACCCTGGATCAACTTCTGTCCTCCAGGACCGTGTGGTGAAGACCTCTCCTCCAGGAGAGTGTAACAGGAACAAGCTCTTAAAAGAGCTAAGTGATTAAAGCTCAGGGGAGTATGCAGAGTGTTGAGGGTGAAGAAGAACTGACTGTACTGGCACATACAGCCACTTTTATTCACATTCTACAAACATAGTACTGCCCACAGGGTTTTGAAGAACAACCAATCAACACATTACAACACAGCTAACACTCCCATTCATTACATCAGAAATCCTCCCCTCTGCCTGTGATACAATTATCTCAACACAATAGACTAACTTAATTATCACAGGCAGGAAAATATAGTATTATAAAACATATCACAAGGACCCCAAAACATATATCCTGGGAACCAGGGGATCTGGGTAAACCACATATCCAAAATTCACCCAGACCCGTTCAGTAGTTTGTAAGATACAGTTTAATGCAGATTCCGCAGAACATATACAGGCTATTTGAAAAATAATTACTGTTAAATGTGTCCCCTGTTCTGTAGTTTAAAACTACTGAACAATGTCTTTGTGCACCAAATACCGTCGAGATGGCACCGTGTAGAAAAGTCAAAACAGTGTCTGTGAGTTAAAATGGCCGCCATCCATTGTTCTCACCATGTGCTTCATCCATTGTTCTCACCATGTTCCTCTGATACATGAAATGGTGGCCACCCAGTAACTCCACAATTTGTCTTGTAGTCTATCCAGCCGAACCAACAGATGAAACACATGGGGAACAGTGCAACAAACAAAGGAAATCATAAAAAATATGGACAATAGTCATATTTGTGCACAATCTCCAGTTTTGTCACAGGGCACATATCGTGTTTTCAAATGCCATATATCCCAGGGCCATAGTCAGAAGGCAGGAGGCATGCAATCAAGCCCCTCCAAGAACACGTGGCGAGGTCTGTTCCGCCACAGCGGGGTTTGCAAAGGCTTTGCAAGGATTTCTTTAGATATACCCCAATTTAAAAAAATGCATAATAAAATGCATTTAAGTTTTCATTAGGGCTATATCTACTGAACAGTGACTTGCTATTTTGTATTTGGGCAGAGGAGTGTCCATTTAATAAAGCTTTGACAATGTTGTACTGCACTTTTCTCCTTGGTTGAGGAAGTAGCCTTGGTTGGGGGTGGTACATGCAACAGTATTTATCAATCTGGGTTAATTTATTTAGCTCTGCTACCCTTAATCAATAACACTATTGCTTTCATTTTATGTTTTAGCTATGCATTCTATATTTCAAATAAAAGTTAGACTGAAAAGAACTGAATGGGACCATCTGCACTTTTTATGCAAAAGTAGCATTTTCTTTAAAGCACAAATATTTTATTCCATGCTACATATGACCCAGTTTTCTTCACAAAATGCAAATATTAGCATTTACCTATATTAAATTTGTAGCTTGCCTTTTCACATCAACATCATACTGGTGCAAGTGGTTTTGTGCTCCAATGGGAAGTGCGTGCTCTATTTGTACTTTTTAAGGGTAACGATTACATAATGGAATGCATCAGAGCAGGGGTGCCCAAAAGGTAAATCCCCAGATGTTTTGATTACATTAATTACAGCTTCCATAATGTAGGTAGAAAAGCATTTTAAAGGCATGCAAAGCATCATGGGAGTTGTAGATCTACCTTTTGGGCATTGCTGCATTAGAGTGAAATGCATATTTTGCACATAAGTTCGTATATATCTTTGATAACATATAAAACAGCTATTTTTCTATTTTAAAACAGATCTGTCAGCTGTGGAAAAGTAATGAAACAAAATGTCTAGAGGCATATGAGATGATATTACATCCGTTCATTTGGTCACTAGAGGGTAGTTTGTTGTCTTGTGGTTACAAGTTTTAGTATAAAACCCACACTTAAAGGGCACATATTTTGTGCTGGGAAAATACATGTAAATTCTTTCTCAAGCTCCCAGAACAATAAATTAAAATTTAGAAAGTAAGCTTTTTAGAAGTGTGTGACAGGTCAAATTGCCTTAAACAATAACTTCTGAGATTACATGCTCCGAAGTGTCAGGTGAGGACACACGTAAAGATGGATATTTCCTGTAGGAGGCAATTGGCCTATCATATGCAATATTCAGGGGCGGACTGAGAGCCTTTGGGGCCCCCGGGCAAAATTAGATCCCAGGCCCTTTGAAGGCCAAATATATGTGCATTAAATAAATGTTAAATATAACTCATAATACAGCATTCCTTTGGATGTGTATATTGTGAAGACCTGTGTATCAATGCATGTTTGTATTTGAGTCTGTGTGAATGCACTTGTGCATGTCAGGATGACTACATGTGCTTTTTTGTATATAGTGTCTGTGTGAATGCATATGTGACAGGTGACAGTGTATGAGGGAGAAGGTGACAGGTGGAAGAGTGTGGGAGGTTGTGACAGGTGGCAGAGTGAGGGGGTACCTGGTGGCAGAGTGAGGGAGGGAGGGGTTGAGTGGTGGCAGAGTGAGGGGGAGACACAGTGAGTGGGGGTGACTAGTGACATAGGGAGGGAGAGGGGGTGACTAGTGACAGAGTTAGGGAATGGGTGACTAGTGGCAGAGTGAGGGAGGGAAAAGATGACTAGTGGCAGAGTGAGGGAGGGAAAAGATGACTAGTGGCAGAGTGAGGGAGGGAAGGGGTGACTGGTGACAGAGTGAGGGGATGACTGGTGACAGAGTGAGGGAGTGTGACTGAGTGACTAGTAACAGAGGGAGGGAGTGACTAGTGACAGAGGGAGGGGGTGACTGTCACTAGTCACCCCATCCCTCTCTCTGTCACTAGTCACTCCCTCCCTAACTCTGTCACTGTGTCACCCGCTCCCTCACTCTGTCACTAGTCACCCCCTCCCCTAACTCTCTGTCACTAGTCACTCCCTCCTCTGTCAAGTCTCTCCCTATCACCAGTGACTGGTGACTAGAGTCCTGACTAGTGACAGAGTGAGGGAAGGAAGGGTGACTGGTGACAGAGTGAGGGAATGACTGGTGACAGAGTGACAGAGAGGGGGTGACTAGTGACCGAGTGAGAGAGGGAGTGGGGTGACTAGTGACAGAGTGAGGAAGGGGGTGACACAGTGATAGTCACCCACAGTTCCCCCTCTGTCACTAATCACCACCTCCCTCACTCTCACTAGTCACCCCTTCCCTCCCTCACTCTGTCACTAGTCACACCCTCCCTCTCTCTGTCACTAGAGTGAGGGGGTGACTAGTGACAGAGTGAGGGGGTGACAGGTGATAGAGTGAGGGAAGGGGTGACTAGTGCCAGAGTGAGGGAAGGGAGGGGTGACTAGTGACAGAGTAAGGAGATGACTGGTGACAGAGTGAGGGAGGGGGTGACACAGTGACGGAGGGAGGTGGTGACTAGTGACAGAGTGAGGGAGGTGGTGACGGTCACTAGTCACCACCTCCCTCACTCTGTCACCCCTCCCTCTGTCACTAGTCACCCCTTCCCTGCCTAACTGTCACTAGTCACACCCTCCCTCACTCTGTCACTAGAGTGATGGGGTGACTAGTGGCAGAGTGAGGGAGGTGGTGACTAGTGACCTCCCTCTGTCACTACTCCCTCCCTCCTTCTATCACTAGTCACCCCCTCCATCCCTCACTCTGTGACCAGTCATCCCCTCCCTCTGTCACTAGTCACCCCCTCACTCTAGTGACAGAGTGAGGGAGGGTGTAACTAGTGACAGAGAGAGGGAGGGTGTGACTAGTGACAGAGGGAGTGGGTCACTAGTGACAGTAAGGAAGGGGATGACTAGTGACAGAGTGAGTGACTAGTGACAGAGTGAGGGAGGGAGTGGGTGACTAGTGACAGAGTGAGGAAGGGGGTGACACAATGACAGAGTGATGGAGGGGGTGACTAGTGACAGAGTGAAGGAGGTGGTAACTGTCACTAGTCACCCCATCCCTCCTTCTGTCACTAGTCACCACCTCCCTCTCTCTGTCACTAGTCACAACCTCCCTCTCTCTGTCACTAGTCACCCCCTCCCTCTCTCTGTCACTAGTCACACCCTCCCTCACTCTGTCACTAGAGTGAGGGGGTGACAGGTGACAGAGTGAGGGAAGGGGTGACTAGTGGTAGAGTGAGGGGATGACTGGTGACAGAGTGAGGGAGGTGGTGACTAGTGACAGAGTGAGGGAGGTGGTGACTGTCACTAGTCACCACCTCCATCACTCTCTCCCTAGTCACCCCTCCCTCTGTCACTAGTAACCCCCTCCCTCACTCTGTCACTAGAGTGAGGGAAGGAAGGGGTGACTAGTGACAGAGTGAGGGAGGGGGTGACTGTCACTAGTCACACCCTCCCTCACTCTGTCACTGGTCACACCCTCCCTCTCTCTGTCACTAGTCACACCCTCCCTCACTCTGTCACTTGAGTGAGGGGGTGACTAGTGACAGAGTGAGGGAAGGGGTGACTTGTGGCAGAGTGAGGGAAGGAAGGCGTGACTAGTAACAGAGTGAGGGAGGTGGTGACTGTCACTAGTCACCAGCTCCCTCACTCTGTCACTAGTCACCACCTCCCTCTGTCACTACTCCCTCCCTCCTTCTGTCACTAGTCACCCCCTCCGTCCCTTACTCTGTCACCAGTCATCCCCTCCCTCTGTCACTAGTCACCCCCTCACTCTAGTGACAGAGTGAGGGAGGGTGTGACTAGTGACAGAGAGAGGGAGTGTGTGACTAGTGACAGTAAGGAAGGTGATGACTAGTGACAGAGTGAGAGAGGGGGTGACTAGTGACAGAGTGAGGGAGGGAGTGGGTGACTAGTGACAGAGTGAGGAAGGGGGTGACACAATGACAGAGTGAGGGGGGGGTGACTAGTGACAGAGTGAAGGAGGTGGTGACTGTCACTAGTCACCCCATCCCTCCCTCTGTCACTAATCACCACCTCCCTCACTCTGTCACTAGTCACCCACTCCCTCTCTCTGTCACTAGTCACACCCTCCCTCACTCTGTCACTAGTCACACCCTCCCTCTCTCTGTCACTAGTCACACCCTCCCTCACTCTGACACTAGAGTGAGGGGGTGACAAGTGACAGAGGGAGAGGGTGACTAGTGACAGAGTGAGGGAGATGGTGACTGTCACTAGTCACCCCCTCCCTCACTCTGTCCCTAGTCACCCCCTTCCTCACTGTCACTAGTCACCCCCTCCCTCACTCTGTCACTAGAGTGAGGGAAGGGGTGACTAGTGGCAGAGTGAAGGAAGGAAGTGGTGACTAGTGACAGAGTGAGGAAGGGGGTGACACATTGACAGAGTGAGGGAGGGGGTGACTAGTGACAGAGTGAAGGAGGTGGTGACTGTCACTAGTCACCCCTTCCCTCACTCTGTCACTAGTCACACCCTACCTTACTCTGTCACTAGATTGAGGGGGTGACTAGTGACAGAGTGAGGGAAGGGGTGACTAGTGACAGAGTGAGGGGATGACAGGTGACAGAGTGAGGGAGGTGGTGACTAGTGACAGAGTGAGGGAGGTGGTGACTGTCACAAGTCACTAGTCACCACCTCCCTCACTCTGTCCCTAGTCACCCCTCCCTCTGTCACTGGTCACCCCCTTCCTCACTCTGTCACTAGAGTGAGGGGGTGACCAGTGACAGAGTGAGGGAAGGGGTGACTAGTGACAGAGTGAGGGAGGGGGTGACTAGTGACAGAATGAGGGAGGGGGTGACTAGTGACAGAGGAAGATGGTGATTAGTGACAGAGTGAGGGAGGTGGTGACTGTCACTAGTCAACCCATCCTTCCCTCTGTCACTAGTCACCCACTCCCGCACGCTGTCACTGTGTCACCCCATCCCTCCCTCTGTCACTAGTCACCCTCTCCCTCTGTCACTAGTCCCCCTCTCCCTCTGTCACTAGTCACCCTCTCCCTCACTCTGTCACTAGAGTAAGTGGGTGACTAGTGACAGAGTGAGGGAGGGGGTGACTAGTGACAGAGTAAGGGAGGGAAGGGGTGACAAAGTGAGTGAGGGAAGGGGTGATTAGTGACAGAGTAAGGGAGGGGGTTACTAGTGACACAGTGGGGGGTGACTAGTGACAGTACGGGGGTGACTAGTGACAGTGAGGGGGTGAATAGTGACAGTGGGGGGGGTGACTAGTGACAGTGAGGGGGGGTGACTAGTGACAGTGAGGGGGTGACTAGTGGACAGGGAGGAGGGGGGTGACTAGTGACAGTGAGGGGGGATGACTAGTGACAGTGGGGGGGTGACTAGTGACAGTGAGGGGGTGACAGAGTGGGGGGGTGACTAGTGACAGTGGGGGGTGACTAGTGACAGTGGGGGGGTGACTGGTGACAGTGAGGGGGGTGACTGGTGATAGTGAGGGGGGGG